GTTCAGTAGTGTAAGAATTACAACATATCCACGTGTTCTAGTCTACTAATAATAAAATTATAATCAAAAAACACTTTTTAAAGGAGTATTTACCAGAAATGTTATTTACCAGAATTTATTTAGGAGAAAAATGTAAATGTGCAGTATTTTTTTTTTAATAAAATCAATTAATTGGAAATGCTTTTGATTATTAAAATTTAATGGAACCATTAAAATGGAATCCAGAAAATAATGCAAAACAGAATTTGGTAAAGATAAAACCGTAAAACTCAATTAATTAGACCGGCTTTTTGATTAATAAAATTTAATTTAACCATTAAAACAGAGTATAGAACAATGAAAAAAATATATTTTGCCGGTTAGTTGACGCGAGCAAATTAAGTTGAGGATTTAAAAAAATCGAATAGTCTAATAAAATAGACGAATTGCGACAGCCCTAGAGTTTATGCTGGGATATTGTAGCTAGGCAACATGGAACTTACTATTTCATGTAAATTTCATGGATGTACTAAAATAAATGTATATAGGCTACATTTATGTGGGCGGGAGCGGGACAAAATGAATGTTGAATGAAATTAATGTTGTGGGCAAGATAACATTTCTGCGGGAGCAGGTCTCTGTGCTGCACTTCATGTCTACAGGTTCATACAGGTTCATCGTTTTGTGAAGTCATCGTGAAATGGAGTATTGTGTCATATTGCAGGTTTCCTCAGAAAGTTGAAAACTTGTTAAAGTTAAATACAATTAAATTGGTATTTATTGTTCTGATAATTTGCAATAGAATATTCATTTACCATTTTATTGATACAAATCTATTAATAGAAAATAAAAATGGCAATTATTGTTCTGTTAATTTACAAACAGAATATTCATTCAATGTTTTGATACAAATCTGTTAATAGAAAAGTAATGAACAATTTCATCTAGTGAATGTTTTTTTTTTCCCCTAAAACCATTGATTGGCTAGAAATCGCTTTTTTCCAGTCTCTTTCTCTCTCTCTCTCATGGAAATTATTGGTTAAAGGTGTAGGAACACTGGTTATGTAAAGCAGGTCTTGTGCGCACACATTTCAGTCAAACCTTTGTTAAAAAGGGTATTGGGTCGATGAACTACAGATGAAAATAAAACATTGCACACAATGTTGACCTTTGTCAGGCTGTGACATGTTTTAAAAGGCCCATGGGGAATTGGGTGGGGTGGCGGCAGCCTGATAGTTGAACATCTGGAGAGTTCACAGCCCTGCTGTATCACCTTTGTGCCCTTGGGTGACTCGAGACACTTGACCCCTGGTTGCTCTAGGGGGCCTCTCCCTGCGATTAGTGTCTTACGCATCTCCTTGGATCTGTTGACAATTATGTAATTCTCTTCCCCAACTTCTCTTACTACTTTTGTTAACTGAAAACAAGTAGGACATTCTGCATGTGTCCAAATACATGCTGCTACACCTGGCTGTGTATCAAGAGTGTAAAATGTAGTCACATGAAACTTCATGCATTTAACCCTGGACTGTTACAGGTTGCTCCTGTTCTATTTGGTCGTTATGCAGAGAAATCAATCATTAATTGAGCTTTTGGCAATGACACTTAAATATTGCATAACTTCCTGAAGTAGCAGAAGACACATTTTGCTTTAGGTAGTTCCTAAAATTAATTCTGTAAATTGTAGAGTAAGTCTTTTTCCCTGGTAAAACTGTCAAATTTCGATCTGTACAGGTAAAGCTGTGTTCCTGGCCCGGGATAAGCAGCACCTCTCAGACCTGTGTCATCTGATTCGCCATGACGCCCCGTACCTGTTTCAGGAGTATGTGAAGGAGAGCCATGGGCGGGATGTGCGGGTGGTTCTGGTCGGGGGTAGAGTGATCGGATCCATGCTGCGCTGCTCTACCGACGGACGCATGCAGAGCAACTGCTCACTGGGTATGCAATCGCACACTCACCTCCCCTAAAATATTTGACTTGTGATGTAAAGTTTCATTATGTATAATATGTAGAATTTTTGTGGCTTTTTTTTTCTCTTTTCTTTCTTTATGGCTTTATTTTTTTCTATTACAGTTTTAGTAATTGAAGTTTTTCATTTAATAATTCGGATTCATTTCAGTTACCAATTACATTTTTTTTTTTTTTTTTTTTTTTTTTTTTTTGTCTTAAAAAA